CCAGTGAAGCAACGTCCTCCACAACTAGACTGAAGAACAAAAGGACAGCAACTTGTCTGTTGCCCTTCCCCCAATTCCCCAGCGCTGTTCCCATTCCCCAATTCCCCAATAAAAATCTTAAAAAAAAAAAAAAAGCTGAGGGGAGCAGGAAGGAAAGGGCTAGGTGTGGGGGAACTCTGTACTTTTTGATCAGCTTTTCTGTACGCCTAACGCTACCAAAAAAAACAGTCTATTAATTAAAAGGGGGGTGGGGGGTGGGCAGGAGGAAGCAGCAGCATTGACTGGTGCTGTCTGGGACGTGCACAGCTGTGAGGCCTCTGGCCACAGGACTTATAGGCAGGTACAAGCTGCAACAATCCACAGCTGCGTCCCCTCTTAACCCTCAGGAAGGAGCCAGGCCGGGCGGGGCAGGGGCAGTGCTTTACACTTGCTCCCAGCGGTTCGCGGAGAAGAGCAGGTGTACTGAGTGGTCCTCCACCTCACTCTTCTTTTCCAAGTAAGAACTCAGAAGCTTGCCAATTTCAGTTGATCTTTCTAAAATGGGAGAGAGAGACACAAAAGCAAGATCAGGCTTTCCATCTACATTAGAATGTAGTTTGGGCTGAACTTCTGGTCCTGGGCTCAAGTCTAAGTTTGAGTTTTATTTTACTGCATCTCTAGGCAGGTTCAGGCTCCCCTGAAGCCTTAGGAGTTTCCTAAGAAAAGGCAGCAGGATGCAGACACACGGGGACCAAGATGCTTTAGGCAAAAGGAAGTCAGGTAGACAGCAGTTACCATATTTCCCCATGTATAAGACGCACCCTTTACCGTAAAATTTGGGGTCTAAAAACTGGGTGCGTCTTATATAGTGGTTGAGCGCAAAAACAAGCGCGAAAAAAGTGGGAAATGCAAGTTTAAAAATCTACAACCACTGTATAAGACGCGCCTAGTTTTTAGACCCCAAATTTTTTGGACAAGGGTGCGTCTTATACATGGGGGAATAGGGTACCTCCATGGAAGTATTTATAAGATTTGTAGGCCAGTTGGATTAAAGATAAGAGCACTAAATATTCTAAAAGGCGTTTTCCCCATTCACCTATCCCGGTTTTGTAAGCCTTAAACTGTCTCCTGATTATCTAAATATTGATGATATTTTAATAAGCACTTTCGAGACCAATGTTTTACTTTAAAAATGTCACAAAACTCCTCAGAGGGCAAGCAACTATCCAAAAACCAAAACAAAACACCTGGATTACAAAACAGCACCAGGAAACTTGGGGCTGGGGAGGGACACACATAATATAGGCCTTCTCTTGATTGTGAAAAGTTGCAAGGGTGTATAATTATGCCGAAGCTCATCAAACTATACAATATGTGCACTTTATTGTACATCAGTTAGAGATCACCAGAGCTGTACAAAAAAGCACAGATGCATCAGACGCGGCAACCACTAGGAATGGAAATTTGGAAGAAAGTGTGCACACACGGCAACCACGGAGCTCCTCCTAAATCGTCTTTCACGGACAAGTCAAAGTAAGGACGTGGGCACGACGGGGCCTCCGTCTCCTCGTTCTCAGGTAACTTGATGAGGCAACCCCCAGCCTTGCGCTCAACCGGGGAAGAGCCAGGCAGGGCGAGGGTACGGCAGCACGTTCGCTCGCGAGGGTCCCCGGACCCAGGCCTCGGTGCCCCGGCCCTCCTCCCCCAGCACCTCGGGCCCCTGCTCCCCCGCCCGGTCTTCCGGCCCAAGCCCCCGGCCCCCGCCACCCGGCCTTGCCAGGCCCGCCCGCGCGCGCCACCCACCCGGGAAGCGGAGCTGCTCCGCGCGGTGGCCGGCGGCGCACAGCGCGGCCACCAGCTTGCGGCTCTGCGTGCTCTTGCCAGCGCGGTCCACTCCCTCCAGCACGATGAGCGCCCCACGCCGGCCCGCCATCGCTGCGCCTTCGGGCTCCCGCCAAAGCCACGCGTCGCCGCGCCGCCGCCGGGAGCCCCCATTGGCCGGTGCTCGCGGCGCGCGGGATAGCTGAAGTGGGTGGGTGTTGGCGGCACGCGCTGGGATTGGCCGGTGTTGTCCGGGCTCGCCCCCGGAGACGGGGAGGCCTGGCTGATGGGGCCCGTGTGCCGGGTGGTGGGCGTGCCCGTTTGATCGCAGAAATTGCGATCTATTTTCCAGAGTGGCCGGATTGGCTAAGACTGATCCGGGGGGCGGGACGAGGGCGGCTTGGTCGCACCTCCTTTTCCGGCAGAGACCCCGCCTTCCCACCCGGAAGTCGGGCGTGCAGTGTTTCGCGCGGGCGGCCCTCGGTCGCACAGCGAGGAGTGTGCGGCCTCCCGCGAGCTGAGGGCCGGGGGCGCGGCAGGCGCGCGCGAGTCCGCGTGGACCTGCGGGGAAGTGCCGCGCAGGCGCACCGCCCGCTCTCCCGGAGCAGGCCGTCGCTTCGGCCGTGACCTGCTACGGGGGAGGGGAGGGGCTGTCTGCACACTGGCCACGCGACAGTCCTAGGGAAACGCGGGATTGTCACTGTCGGTCCTAAAGCACGGGATGCAAAGCTCTGAGAGTTCCATTCCCAAAGACGGCCTGTGCAAATTCAGGGAGACGGGAGAGAAGGGGCACGTTGTTTCATGTCTGTGTCTCCCACTCCCGCGGATGCGGGTAACGGTGAGGGTAGGGTAAACGGTCCATGTCGTCGAGAGGCGACAAACCTTTAGTCTGAGACGAGCCCCTGGCTTCTAGAAATTGCTCAATCATGTTTGCTGTTATTGTCTTAGGGACATCCAGGCTGCTGGGGCATTTTTCAGGCAAGACTGTGCAGTTGGAGAGAGGTGGTGGGTGGTGCCTTTCTCTTCTCACAAGGACACGTCCCACATGAGGATCCCGCTGTCCTGACTTCATGGAAACCTAGTCACGTCCCCAAGGCCCTCGCCCAAATGCTGTCACATGGGGTCAGGACTCCAACATACAATGGCGGACACATTCAGCCCATAGCAAGTGAGGAACTAACTACATTTCCCCAGGAGAGCCCTTGCCGCTGGACATTGACTCCTCTGTGCTCTGCTGCCCTGGCATGTGTCAGGGCTGACACAGCATGTGTGCCCAGTGCGAGGGTGGTCTCTGCACGCTCCCGTGGAGGCCTTCCGATAGGCAGGCAGGCACAAGGGTGTCCACTGCATGGAGGAAATCGATGGGGTGCTGGGTCTGAGCATGCTTGCAGACAGGTGACACAAATTTGGTCCTAAGTTGATAATTGATGAAACTGGTTGATGGGTGTCACGTCCAGCGTGGCAAGGGCAAATGGGACACGAGAGGNAGTCAAGTGAAACTAACCATATCCCACATGCACACAGGGAGGGAAAGGCCTGCACCAAGAGACTTTTGGTCACTCTGTGCCTGTCCCAGGGACAGAGCTGCACACCAGCCTTGACCTCTACGCAGACCTTTGTACGTGTGGGGCAGCAATTCTGAAACCCCTGTGGATGGCAGGACAGAGCAGATGATGGGATCCAGGAGCCCCGTGGTGCTGGATTGGATCAGCAGGTGTGAGCATGAACTCACAGGTTTCAGGATAAATATGCAGGGTCCGCCAACCCCCAGTGGGTGCCTGGAGCTGCAGAGTACCAGTCCCTGTATGTACGATGCTTTTTCTTATTCATGCACACCAGTGATGAAGTTTAACTTATAAATGACGCAAATTCACAGAGAGATTCATCCTTACATCTTAACAACCTGAGCTTACAATTTTCTTTCCTACTGAGAACTTGTACTTTTCACTTAGAGGAAGCGCTTTACAGCATCTTTGGTGTACCCAAATTGCCAGCGTCACTGCTCCTGCGCTTTGGGGCTGTTGTGAAATGACATAAGGGTGACTTGAACACGAGCACCGAGACACTATAAGCCGATCTAATAACTAAGACGCCTGCTGAGTGACTCACGACAGAGCATGTACACTGTGGAGACACAGACAAAGGGACGATTCATGTCCTGGGTGGGACAGAGGGGGGCTGGGGCGGGGAGGCTCGATATTTCATCACACTGCTCAGAACAGCATGCAATTTTAAACTTCTGAATTGTTTATTTCTGGAACTTCCCATTAAATATTTTCAGACCGTGGGTAACTGAAATCAAAAAAAGTAAATGCACTGATGAGGACTAAAGTAGACAGAGACAGATGCAGAGAGATAAATGCATGTGTAGGTGTGTCCACAGCAGGAGCCTAGAAGGGAGGATGCCCACTGGCGCTGAGCACACCTAGACCCAGATGCAGGTTTCTAAGCACCATCCTCCACTACAAGGAAAGAACAGCTGGCTCCCAGGCTGAAGCAGGAGAAAACACGAGGCCTGGGAACATGTCAAATGGACTCATCAAAAGGACATTGAAGACTCCACAAGCCAAACTTGGAACAATCTAAACATCAAAACAAATGACAGCAGGGGCCGGCCGAGTGGAGTGTTAGTTAAGAGCTGGCTTAGGATGCCAGAGGGCCCTGGTTCGGATCCCACATATGAGGGCCAGTGACACTGCCCTCTACAGCTAAGATGCTGAACAA